TCTAATAAAGTTTGTACAAAAGGAGTGTAAACTAAATTTAACAGACTTAATATTTGTAGGACGGGGGATGATAGCCTTAGCCTTTTGTGATAAAGAAAAAAATGACTTTGACATAGTGATGGACATTAACAAGAAACATCGATGTTTTTTCGATTTAATGCATCGGATTGTTGCATCGATGTAATATCGATGTATCAAAAAATACATCGATGTTTTCTATACATCGATTGTTTTTCTATAAGTTAAATATGTATGTGGTTTAGAAATAAAAAGCAAGCATCTATAAAAATAACTTTATTACCTTTACATTTATTTTTAATGTATATCCCAATAATTTTTATCTATACTTTGTAAAAACAAAATTTTACCCAATCTACCCTTTAATCTATTGCTTTGTTGAGTCATTACCTGCGCCGCTTGCGAAAACAGTCTCGCTGATGGCACTGATGTGCCCACCATTGTTAGATATTTAAAGGCAATTTTATGCAATATTGGAAACTGTATTTTGTAATCTTTCCAAATTTTTAGAGGATTGTCGTTAAGTAGTAAAAGAAGAGGCAGTAGTAAAAGAAGAGATGCATGGTGGAATGATGAAGTGAAAGAAGCTGTAAAAAAGAAGAAGAAAGCATGGTTAGACTACTTGGCCTCTAGTAATGATAAGGATATGAGAGAGAAGATGAAAGAAAGATATAGGCTGCAGAAAGTTCACACGAAAGCATTGATTGAGGAAGTGCGTGAAAGGTGTAGAATGGAAGCGGACGAAAGGTTGTCGCACAACTTTGAGGAGAACTCCAAACTCTTCTGGAAAGAGGTTGGAAGGACCCGGAGTGGTGCGACGGCCTTAAGAATGAACAAAGTGCTTTCGAGAACTAATGACGTCCTCTCAAAAAAATCGGACGTCATGCAGCGATGGAGCGAATTTTATAGAGAAATGTATGCGTATGATGATCTTAGTGAGGGATCCGGGGATGACGCCGTGACTGGTACGCCAGACCCGGACCTCGATGACACTGAGGTCATCAGTATGAAAGAGATTGAACGTGCGATTCGAAGTTTGAAATGTGGTAAGGCTGCGGGACTAGACAGAGTTACTGCTGAAATGGTCAAGTATGGTGGGCCTCGCGTCTGGGACAGCTTTCATCTGCTGTGCAATTTGTGCTGGCGGACGGGGGATGTCCCGGATGATTGGCGATCCTCAGTCATTGTGCCTTTATATAAAGGTAAAGGTTCACATTTTGACTGCGGGTGCTATCGGGCGATCAGCTTGGCCAGTTTAGCAAGTAAAGTTTACTCAAAGGTTTTGACACGTAGGATGCAAGAGAAATCGGAAAGATTTCTATGGGAGGCACAATGCGGATTTAGACCTGGAAGAGGATGCACGGATCAAATGTTTTCTCTCCGCATGATCACGGAGAAGCTTCTGGCTGCTAACCAGAAGATTTTCTGTGCTTTTGTGGATCTTGAGAAAGCATTTGATAAAGTTGTAAGGAAGAAAATGTGGGAACTGTTGCCGGGGTATGGTGTGGATGGTCGATTGCTAAGGGCTGTGCAGTCTCTTTACTGTGACTGTAAAGCCTGTGTGCGGGTAGGGCATGACCTGTTACCCATGTTTAACGTCCAAACGGGCGTAAAGCAGGGTTGTGTCATGTCTTCCTGGCTGTTCATACTGTATCTCGACAGCTGTTTACAGAAGCTGAAAGATAGTTGTTGGGTGTGAAATTGGGTGACATTAAAGTAAATTGTCTGCTGTATGCTGATGATGCAGTGCTTATTGCACCATCAGAGGCAGAACTGCAGGCATTAGTCACGTGTATGAAAGAGGAATGTGAAATTAAAGGTCTCCGTTTGAATGCTAATAAAACTAAGGTTCTGGTATTTGAAAGGGACGAAGAGAGAACGAAGTGTGAAATATGGGTAAATCAGGAATGTCTAGAACAGGTAAATGAAATTGTATACTTGGGGAGTGCTTTTAGCCGGGATGGAAGATGTGATTTAGATGTGGACAGGCGTGTCGCTGCCGGGAACAAAGTCAATGGTGCCCTGACTGCGTTAGTCAAAAGGCAAGGCGTAGCGAAGAGTGCACGCCTTGCAATACATAACGCAGTGTTGGTACCGACTTTGTTATATGGCAGCGAAACCTGGGTATGCCAGAAGAAGCATAAAAGTAAGTTGAATGCAGTGGAGATGCGATCTCTTCGTAAAATGTGCGGCGTTACTTTGGCCGACCGAAAGCAAAACGAAGAGATTCGCAATATGGCAGGTTTGAAAGATGACCTTATCACAAAAATTGATAAGGGCGTGCTTCGGTGGTTTGGGCACGTTGAGCGAATGAGTGAAGACCGAATGGTGAAGAAAATATATAGCGCGAAAGTTAATATTAAAAGGTGTCGAGGTAGACCGAGACTAACTTTCGAAGACCATGTGAGCAAATTGCTCGAAGAGGGTAGGGTCAAAAGTACTCGGATACCTAGACGTGCATGCATGAAGAAGATAATGAATCTGAAAGAAGCGAAAGAGGTTTGTAAGGATCGTGGCACTTGGCGATCTGTTCTCTCTGGCTACCCCGTCAGGGGTTGTGCGTGAAGATTGTCGTTAAGTCTTCCAACAGGACTTGTCAGATAAACTGAAAGTTAGATAAATCTTCACATTTATTACTGTTCCAATTGCGATGTACCAGTTTGTAATGATCACTCCATAATGAAAATGTCTCTTCACTTTTATCAGACTTATCCGAGTCTGACTCGATTTCTTCAATTTGACGCAAATGAATCTTGGATTTTCGATACAGCATTGCTACAAGCTATTGCATCGTTGCGCGGTGTAATGTTTTACTTAAATAGGTACGACATTAAGCACGAAATACAATTAAAGTATTAGTTACGGATTTTTGTTTAATTTACAATCATGCTTTTACGGAAATTTCGAAAATTGTTACTTATATATTATTTAGATGCACGCACTTACCTTTGTTTACTTGTCCAACGTGTTGACAGACTTATGATATTAATATTACATATAACCTGTTGTTCAGCTTAACACTTCGATTTTTAAATATTATTGCTAACACGACACAGAAATTTTAATATGAATTCTGAATCAAGTTGAGTACGTAATTAATTAATACAAAAATGAAAATAATATGATTTTTGAAGCCAGAGACTGCAACTAACTGTAAGTAAGAGAGAGATGGTGGGTCAATTCAGTCGGCCATTTGCATTTATATTTTTTATGGGTTGGTTGCACTGACCTCTATAATATTGGCTGCCTTTTCAACCAGTGATACCACTTTTTGACGAAACACCTTGCGACTGCTAAATAATGTAATTGAAAAAGACAAAAAAAATGTTATTAACCGTAGAGAGAGAGAGAGGGGTAGGTTTGATTGTTTGCCTTTTCGATGCATCGAAAAAAAAACATCGATACATACTCGATGTTTAAAACTTAACAATACATCGGTTTGATTCGATGCATCGTTACTATACATCGAGTATTTTTAAAACATCGATGTATATTAGGGATGGGTAAAAGGAAAAAATATATCGATATATATCGAATCTATATTTTTAAACAGTATCGATATATATCGCGTGATAAATATCGATATGTCGTCATCATTTGAATGATGTAAAGATAAGATCCAAAGTTTTATTTACTGACGGTTGGACATCGATCACTAATAAAAAACTAGATGCACAATCCCATACAAAAGTTCTCTAAAAACTGTCGCCAAATGTTTTGACGTAATTCTAGTTGATATAAATATACATTAATGTAAATTCAATCTTAAGTGATATGCTTAAAGTTGTATTCACAAAGCAACGTACAAAAAGCAATAAAATTTTACGACCGAGGCTCTTCGCTTGGACTAGGAGAGTGGAGTCGAAATGCACGATATTTTTTTTTTCTGTAATTATAATTTTACAATTTTTTTAAACTTGTTTTAAATAATTGGTCCACTTAATAAAGCATATTCTATTCTATTCTATTCTATGGTGTATATGTGTAATGGTTATATTATTACCTTATTGTAAATATGCTTTTGTATAGGGCACCACATTTATTTAGTAATGAAAATAATTGAAACAGTCATAATTATTTATTTATTCTTTATCTTGTGTGAAAAATTTAAAGATATTGCGTGACAAACAAGTTAAATCTAAATATAATAGTTACTAAATATAAAATATAAGTACAGAAAATTCTTGCAAAATCTAAGAACATTACTGTCCAAATTTTGACGTAATGTTCATATTTACAGATGTTTAAAAAAAACGTATAAGACTGAATAATTATAATGATTTACGGGTTCACTTCACATTTAAATGAAACTAGTTTTACGGATTTTAACGCGTATATTAACTTATTTTATATTCAGTAAAGAACTCTCATTAAACAAAAAAAAATACAATCATACATTGTATTTTTTTTTGTTTAATAACAAAAAAATAAATAAAAAAACACAATAGCGTTTCCACAAATGGAACAGAATCAACGCATATACCTCGAACAATGACGACTTATTTTATTACGACTTAATTTAAAAAATAATTTTTCGATGATTTCTTGACAAAATATCAGTATTTACCATACAGTTATAACAATTAAATAATGTTAATGTTAATATTTACCGAAAATATGAAATTCCACCCTTTTTTAGCGTCCTGGATGTGTGCTTTTTACACTTTTTAAACGAGCACTGAGGCATGTTTACCGTCGGAACATTCGAATGCTACTAGATTAAATGTGCACTCATATGTTCGAGTGGGTGCACATTCGGTTATGCCATTTTTTGTCACTGATTGTGTATCTAGTTTTTTATTAGTGATCGATGCGGTTGGACGACGAAAAAAACGATACAACATTTTTAAATATATCGAAATTTATACGAATTCGATACTCTAAAATAAATGTCGATATATCGCGATTTAAAATATCGACGATATATATCGATATTTTTTGCCCAAGCCTAGTGTATATCGTCCACTCCTACTTTGACATCTGTCAGTCTAGAGACAAGTAATGTAAATGTATACTGAATTGAGATTTATAGGAACAATTTACGAAATTTTAATAAAATGTCTTTAGGCAAATATCTTGCCCTTGATAAATTATCCAATTTCTTCAACATTATTAAACAAAATGGTGGAATAAGGGCATCTTTGTACAAGATGTACAGGTGAATATGTAAATGAAATCGCTTATTATGTAATTTGTGGCTGGGTTATGTTTGGTTCTTTTATGTTTTTGAATAATTAAACTTATTGCATTGATTATTTTATCTTTGTTGAATTACATTTTCAGGAATATAATTCTTTATTTACTTTAAAAAAAATATGTCATGGAAGTCAAAGAAAGGGATTATTCATATTTGCTTTCATTGTTAATTGATTGTTAATGGTACTAATCCTTAAATAGTTCACTGATGAATTTAATACCTTGACTAAATAATGTAAATTAAACCTCATATATAATACCAAATAAGTCAAGTGGACAGATATCAAATAAATAATGCTACGAGTTACTTGTTGTTATGGTTACTTGAATTGAAATAATAATAGTATGTCAATTGGTAATAATAATAATAACGGATAAGAATCAGAAAATTGTTATCATATTAATAATTTTTATTCGACATTGGGTTGTCTATAGATGGCTGGTACTTGATTTTAATTATGTTTTCAGTTTAGGAGACTAATCCGGGTTAAGCTTGAACCTTTTACACTGTTTTTGGATGTTTGAAATCAGTTTTGAATTGGTTACAATAAATATAAATTTCACTAAAAATTGCTTATAACAAAACGCAGTAAATTTGGTCTAGTATTATGAAGTAGATGTCCAGTACTTGATTTTAATTGTTCTTAGTTAAGGTTTATCAGGGTTAAGCTTGAACCTATTACACTGTTTTTGGATATTGGAAATGTGTTTTGAATTAATTAAGATAAAAATAAATTTCAATAACTAAAATTCCATATAACTAAACGGGTCACCCATAAAATAGTTAATTACTTGGACCCAGACAATACATTTGTGGCTGAAGATGGGACTCATAAATAACAAATTGAGTCGTAGTGTAGAGTAGTCAAGAGGTTTATCAGAAAACAAAATTATAACAATTTACATTACATTGTTTCATTTACAACTATCATAGCAGAGTTTAGTGTAACCAAACTAACGGTGCGTAACGAAGAATGTTAATGCTCATGAATATGTCATTTAGGTTATCGGTATGTTGTTGTGGCGGTGGGGGTTTATAGAAAATTTATAGGACAAAATTTTCAAGTTATATAAGAACCTTTACGGTGATAGTTCGGTACTGTGTGCTTCAAGACAGTACTGATCACATCATTCATCATTGAGTTTCTTTGAGAATTTTTGATCTTCAACTATCAAGATGTCCGTATGCAAAGAAAACGAAGACTGTGTTGAGGTTATGGAGAACCACTCAAATCAGAAGGAAACGATGGCAGATTTAGCAAACACACAGGCTGTCATGGAAATCGACCCTCCAATGAAAAGGACAAGAAAAATGTGAAATTATCGAAAGTGAAAGTGATTCGAAAGAATCCTTTCATAGAATGGTTAGAAGGTTTGTGGACAAACAATGTAATTCTAATAGTGATGCGTCCTGGGTTCTAGCCATTCAGATCCATGCGCTAAAAGTAAAAAAATTACAAAATGTACACCATGGGTCAGCAGATACAAAAGATAATGAAGGAGTTCTTTCAATGAATGAAGACAAACAAGAAGAACTTAGCAAGTTGTTCGTCCAATATTTTTACAGAGTGATTCTCAAGATAAGGGTTCTCCATGACATATGGGAGGCTGCAAGCGATGGATTACGAGGTCGCTTTCAGAATGCAATAGTTCGACCTGTACTCAAATTGTTACATGGAGCTAATGGAGAAACAGAAGAAAGTGGAGCAAGCTTCCAGCAGCAGCGAAATGGAACAATTACAGGCATCTTCATCATTCATGATCACGGAGTATGAAAAACATCTCCACGACTGTACGTACAGTGGATCCATATGTAGGTACCGGCACTTCGAAAGAGTGTACAACAGACGACACACAAGAGGAAGATTTCCACTGGAAGACAACTCAAATGATGGACATTCCCAATGGAGAAACCTTCCTCAAAGAAGCGGAAAATCTAAGCAGAAAAGAGACGGAAACAGAGAACGAGATGCACAAACCGGGTTCACTATTCAAGGTGAATCAGACAATGAATGAGAGTAGAGTTTCAGTGGAAGACGAATCGGACCGGAGGTTGATGAAGCTGACCATAAAGCGGAACAGAGACCGACATATGTATGTATGACTCCGCCACCAACCAAGATTCGGCTGCGGAGGGTAGGGAGAGCGACGCCTCAAGATTCCGTCACTCCTCTCTTCTTCTTCTTCTTCTCCCGCGGCCCACCACCACCGCGGGTGCGGTCCCGCCAGAGTTGCGGAGGATAGGAATCGTAATATCAACACTCTACATGAAGTATATCAATGGTGACTCTAAACCTAGAATGATTGGGTGAAAAATTGTGTGATAAGAAAAGTGTGGTTTTCAAAAATACTTTGGTGGTTTGAAGTTATAGAAAAAATTAATGAGCAAATAGTGACAAAGTAAATTTATGCTGCAGACATTTTAGTGGCAGAGTCCGCAAAGGAATTTTGTAAGATGGAAGTTTATCGACCAATTTGGCCATCGACCAGATATACTGAAGATGGGCCAAATTGAGAGTATCCCTAACTGACGAGCACGGATACGTGATACGTTTATGACAGGCGTGAGACTTGATATATGTATGTCATAATATATATTTTATATTTTTAGGCAGGATGAGTTGAAAGATGGAGTTCTTGTAGGCGAGGATAAGTTTGGCAACAAGTATTATGAGAATCCTCGTTATTTCTATGGTAGCAATCGATGGGTTGAATATTCCGACAAATATAACATGGACTATGATGGTAGCCAGGTAAGACTGGGCTTATTGTATTTTAAGATTTAATAATTAAGGACATATTTACATTTTTGAAGTGCTCGAATTTAGATATTCGAATTGCAAGCTGACTTATGACAAACATTGAAACAGTTTTCTGCTATATTTTATATATTATACCTAACTAGACTTGACACTTTAATAGTTGACACCAACATATTAAGAAAGAGGGAGCATTGCGTACATTTTAAGTGAAGCTGACACCATGCTCAACATCTTGAAACACACTCTCGCATACATCTTTTTGTCTTTATCAGCCGCAGATGAACACATTAAACTATATTAATGGTTGGAAATGATTTTAAATGCATACATGTATGTGAGTGCGTGTTCTTGCAATAAGGTGAGCATGGTTTTTGCATCCCTTGAAATGTAAGTAGCACTCCGTTTTTCTTTTTGCAATTGGTATCTGGCATGATAATAATATTTATAGTATTTGTAAATTTGAGAGTGGGGTGCAGGGTCAGCATTATTAAAAAATTGTGTATAGGACAGCATGAGTACCAGTGTGCATGCTACTGTTATACTGGTTTTACCGTACAAGTACCGATTGTATGAGCAGGTGTGAGTGAGGAATCTATTTAAAAAAAATCTAAAATAACACATGTAGGAAATGTTTGCTTTTACACATTATTTCATCGAAAAGTTTATATTCCTATGTGAGCTATGATATCTTAGATTCATATATCTTATATCTCGCGTATCAACTAGCACTAGAGGCTTACCTCCAGTTCTAGTTAATTACAGTTATTGTAGAATTTTACTAAAAGTCCTTACATGTTTTCCTTCTAGAACGTGTCATCTCTTTTTATGAATTCAAATTTTATATTACCGTCCCCTATCCACAGGCATACACATATTTTAACCAGTTCCAAATTGGCCCTGAACTTGGTAGCACCATTTGCTTTTTGTGTTGACTGTGAAAACGTCAGATTTCTATAACCAAAAGTCAATTTTCTTTTGTTTCATTGCTTTTTCGGGTTCCATATTATAATCGAATCATGGGCATTTCACTTCTAAAGAACCAGGTTCATAGATTTGCCGTCTGGATTAGCACCCAGAAATGAATATTTGTTGTATATTTGTAAACTAGTCTTGTATGTTAAAGTCTTTTAAAGCTCTTTCTAATTCTCGGGACGTTTTACGCTCGTTATTCTTGATATTTTATATAGATGGCACATTGCTTAAATCGTAACCATACAGTAATTACTTAACAAGGAGAGCACAGTACGTATTTTCAAGCCGCCTGCAATGTCTGGCAAACCATGAAGCTGTCAACTTTTCTTCTAGTTTTCAAGAGCGAGCTTGCAATCTGTAAAACAGTGCTCCTTTCAATAAAGTGTAGTATCTGTTCTGGGGCAAAGCATCCAAAAATACTGTATTAATATAAATAAAATCTCATAACTATTTAGACCATAATCTTTTTTTTACTGGCTTTACGGCTCTGGGATCTAGCCCTTCTGAGCCTGAAGTTCCAATGTATAATTATCCTTCATAGTACAGTGCTTCACAATATGTTGATGCGTCACATTGTGCAGCCCTTGGGAGATTTTGACGGCAACTTGAGCCAGCTGACAGCTGACAGTTGGCGATGGTATCTCAAGGTGCCTAAACAAACAGACACCTTATCCTGAGAATCACATCACTATCGGTATCGGAGCACTTGTTTCACTGTTTCCACTATTAGTTCACATGCGCAGACACTTAATACACAAAATCGCACCACTTTTACATATCAAAATCCACTTCAAACCATTATTTAAACAATAATACAGGAGCAGCAAACCGCCGCCGGTCAAGTTCCCGCCAAAACTCCTTTTAGACCATAAAATTTCCTAAAGTTATAGAGTAATTAACATTTGTGTAAGATAAGCGGTTGATCGATACGAGTATTAACAGGTTTGAAAAGTAGGTACTGTTTTGAGCTAATCAGCGCTTGGAACGTACTCATATTATACGTCCTTAAATAATATTTATAAGTTTTTTGGGACTAATTAATACTAACTATTAGAAGCTATTAAATTTTTCTAGCATATACTATAGTTGCCTTTTACGACACCCACGGAACGATAAGGGTGATGTATTCTCTTATGCCGCCATCACACCAACAGATGGCGGTATACCTACCAGGTATACCAGGCGTAAAATACACAGACCCGCAACGAGTAGCAGTGATAAAAGTGCAAGACGATTGGCACTGCGATCGCTTATCCGTCTGCCAACTGCCAAGCGCGGCGATTAAGACAAACCCTCTCTACTATGTTAAGAGGTCCATGTTGTAAAGCTGGTGAAGGAAAAGGAAAAGAATACTGGCATGCATGTAGCTTTGAAAAATAAAATTTATTTTATGAAGAAAAAACAACGTAAGACGATTTAATTTAAACACATCGCACAGGGATCATATTATATACGTCGAATATCATATATCTAGAACTCAATATTGAAACAATGAGTTTTCAATAGGGGAGAGTGATACGTATAATACTAATTTGCGCAAGCTTCAAATCACAACTAATAAATCAATATGTAGAAGGTATAGCTACCTAAGTAACTATGAGCTTGCTTTATTCGTTTGGCATTAAATTAAGAATTATTATCTTGTTATGTAAGAGGTCCTAAAGTCCACAGAATGAATTGACGATGAAGAGTTTTTAAGTGAATAAAACTTTTTTAAGTCTGACACATTTTTTACTATGTGGTATCCGATTTTTTAAGCTAACGAAAATATTTTTTTTTATATCTAAATTCTAAACCCAAGAAGGCTGTAATCGCCACGTTATTATCACGATGCCCACGCTATAACAGCGTTGTCCTAGCCTAGACCTCGGTTTTGCAGCACTCCTGCTGTCCCCTATCGAATATTTAGTATAGTAAAAACTATTTATGAACTTTTAACCATTCTAGAAATCTATTTGTGTATCATGAGTCAACACTTCTGAAATGTGACGATATCCTAAAGTTTTTTTTTTAATGAAGAATTCCAGTAACTCGTAGTATTAACATTACGAAAACAACAATCAGTTTAAGCTTCAATTAAGCTTAAACTGATCGTGTTTTGAGTGGTGCGACAGTATTTGAATTGTAGATTTGAACCCAAGACTTTTCTATAGAATGAGGGTGACAACTGTCCACTTGATGGTAAGTGGATGCTGTGGCCCATAGACATCTACATCTTTATCATTCTTGATTAAGAATTACATCACTTGCGCTGGCACTCCTGAGAAGTAAGATGAAATACATTGTTTCCAATAAAAAGGCTTAAAACTTCCAGAGTTAGTGGACTGAAACCTTAATCATTAGGCTACTATCGCTTATATTAAGGTACAAAGAAATGCGTATAACAAAGACAGGAATGGGCGCTGCAAGTGTGCTGGGGGTAGGTAGCTACTGCCCCCAGGATGTACTTTTAGATAAGCGTTTATACAAAAAGATAAAATATTATATCCACGATGATTATCCCATTTTAAAAAAGAGCGTGCAACATACATTGTTGGTTTATTACATAATTACAATAAATATAATATAAACATATTTTTCCAGGTCCCAGCTGAATGGTTTGGATGGCTTCATTATAAAACAGATCTGCCCCCACATATGGTAAAGTATAAAAGCTAACTAGCAAAACTATGATTAAAAATACTTTAAAAACTTGTGACTGTAGTCAATATGATCGGTTGGAGAACAGTATAATGTTGGACGCGTGCATTCAACAAAATCAAAGGACCACCTGGCTCAGAAGTGCATTTGGCAATCACATGGACAGTGGTAGAGCCACGCGGCAGCTTTTGCTGTCGCACGGATGGGCCGGCTCGAACCGGGGTGGTACCACGACCTCACAGAAAACCAGCGTGAAGTAGAGGTTTACCTCTGCGTTTCGCTTGGTGAGTGCAGGTGGCCGGAGGCCCATTTTACTGGAAATGAGACATTCCATCTTAGTCCTCACGGGTGACATCGCATCTACATTTTGATTTGTAATAGAAGATAGATGTAGATGTCTATGGGCCGCAGCAACCACTTACTATCAGGTGGACTGTGTGCTCGTTTGTCACCCTTATCCTATAAAAAAAAAACATCAATACTGATATAATTTTTTTTTATTTGGAATTGGAATTTAATATGATTGTTATTGATTATAACAAAAGATATCTTAGCTTTCCGATAATAGTTTCGATAGTCTACGTATATGATGTTTACAGGACGGAATCGGATGATGGATGTTTTATACTATTTACTATTGAAACTAATTTTTACATTAGAGAATAAAAACCTCTTAAATTACTGCATCATTATTGTTACATTCCCTCACAAGTCTACTGCTTTTTTTTATGGAATAAGAGTGACAAACGAACACGCAGTCCACCTGATGGTAAGTGGATGCCGTGGCCCATACACATCTACACCTGTCTTCTAAGAATCAACGTGCAGATACGTTGCTACCCCTGAGGACTAAGACGGAATGCTGCGTTTCCAGTAAAAAGGGTCTCCGGTTCTCTACACCCAGTGAGTGTCACCCACCATACGTAAAACAGCATCATTTAGCTTCTATTTTACGTGGTATTCTGTGAGATTGTGGTCCTTCTCCGGTAGAGCCAACATATTTTGCTAGAACCTTATTATAGCATCAGGGGGGATCTACCACGTGGAAAATATAAGTCTCCCCCAAGGATAGCCGCAAACCATGGTCTTGAGCCAATTTGTTGTAATGTTGGTACATAGATCTATGTATGTAGCGAGTGCGATATTGTCCGGGTGGCGATCAGTTGTGAAATAAACGTTTAAGCAAATAAACGGTGTCTCATATAAATATTACACTTATAAGTAAGTAGTGCATGACGCATGACAACAATCCCAACTGATGGTAAAAAGTGGTGTAGCCCTAGATGGTAAACGCACTGGTTAAGTTTTGCAATATCTTAAAGTCACTTGTAAACTGAAAAATAATATCAAAACATGGTACACTGATTTGTATAATATTTTATAACAACTATGATTGTTCATAATAAGTATGTGTGTTAAAGACGAGAAGAATGATCATCATCAACACTATCATTGCAGCCCTTCATAAGCCCACCGCCATACACAGGCCTCCCCCAAAAAATGCCACAAAGCACGGTGCTAGGCCACCTGCTTCCAACAACTTTCTACTAGGCACTTCTTACTAGGTCGTCACTCCATCTGCTGCCTGAGGTTGCCGCTCGAGAACCTTTCTTCTCCATCGGTGGTGGGTTCTTCGGGACGACCCACTGCCACTTCAGCTTACCGTTAAGAATTTTATTACAGGATTAATATTTTGCATACAACAACGTTAGTGCATTTACGATCACGGTAGTTTGAGTACATGATTACTGAAGTGCGGATTGTCAGATCTATGTATTTACCATTGATCGCATCGCAAGTCTTACATGCAGTTAGGATAGGTGACTGCTTCTATTTCTGTCGCTTGTGCATCTATATATGTAATAATAATAATCGTTTATTCAATAATACAAATGTACATAGCAATCAGTCAGAGATCCTTTCAGTAAGTTTAAAAAAACTTGTATTAGAGAAGACCCCTCTTTCGTTAAGGATATGTCCTTAAATACAGTGTAAACTCTATATAACGACACTCAGGGGAATGTGCATATTTTGCGTTATAGAGAGTTGTCGTTAAATGGAACGAAGACAAATCTGTATTAGGAAAAGAAAAAGTTTATTTCAGACCAGTGTTAGTAATTACATAAAAACAATTTTTATTTTAACGCTATTGCGTATAATCTATTATTTTCGTCTGACGTCTTTTGCTGCACCAGTAATTGTGTTGTATCTTTTTATCTATTTTATTCATACCTTGCGATATTGAGTCATCTTAGTGGTAATGAAAGTACTTTTCCAATAATTTTTTCTTACCTAATCCTAAATTTCTTTATCTGTGAGTAAAGCCGTTGTAAGCAGGCAGTCGTCTACTGCGATGTAGGTTTGAAGATTTTCTGTAAAATTTTGTAAGTGAACTTAAAAAAAATTCTTGCTTCATCAGTATTAAAAATGTCACTTGGGGCGTATTTTTCTATCAATTTTGACCATACTCTATTAATCCAGTCGTGAGTAACATTTGTATCAACATTTCGTGCTTCTTCACTAATTTTACCATAGTTCATATGATGACGTTGTTTGAATTTTTCGAGCCATCCTTCTGATGATTTGAACGAAGTTAAACCAAGTTCTTCAGCAAACTTCTCCGCCTTAGAATTTATGATCGGCCCCGAGAGAGGCATATTATTCTGGCGCTGTCGGTGAAACCATGATAGTACAGCTTGATCCAAATCTTCGTATTTAGGTTTCTTTAATTTTTTGGAAGATTTTCCATCCTCCTCTGCTTCTAGAATTTTTTCTTTATTTTTCCATATTGTGGACACGGTAAAGCGACTAAATCCAAAGCGTCTACCAACATCACTTATCTTCTCTCCCGCCTCTATTGCGCGCATCAGTAACACTTCGTCAATACACAGTGATTTTCTCTTATTTGCCATGTTTACAGTTTGAAAGTTTGTGAGCTGCTATGAATATGATAACGTATAGATAATCCATGACTCCTACTAACCAACACTCTATACGTGCAAGCAATCCCAATTTGTAAACAAAACAACGGATTTCTTAGAGAGCTTGGTACGTATGATGCCGACAATTGAGTTTATTACGGTCTACGATAATAAAGCGACAAAAGAACAAAAAAGAACACACAGCTGTGCAGTTTTTACTAATTTTTGAAACTTAAAAAGTACTTTTAATTATTTAATTGTTTCGTTATGGAGGGTGGGTGTAATGTTATATAGAGTGTATCATTGTATGGAAGACAAGCTAAACCAACCAAAGTAGAGTGATTTCGACGCTTTAGGGAGTTTGACGTTAAATCGAGCGACGTTACATGGAGTTTACGCTTTATATAGCAAATATGTACTTACATAAATCCTGTGCATTTCAACAGTGTCCGAAAGTGTTGAAAAGTTATATACAACGTTGTAAAAATCCGTCTGAGAATATCATCAATTATAATATACCATAAAATAAGTACACAAAATTATTTTGAGATAAAGCCGTGATATTTGATTTCAGGACCCCAGCCGACCCAAATACAAGTGGATGATAGAATTCACGGAGAATATGTCCGGAACGACTGGGCAGTACACTCCTTACAGTACTACGAGGCCCAAGGTTGAGCCCTGGATTCCCAAACGTAAAAGCAATGCTTAAAATGTCTATATAAACATTTTAAACGTTGCTATTACGTTGATTAGTGGGCTTGAAGTCAGACTTTTGTTTAATGTTAAAGCTATATAAAAATATAGTACGAAAATTATCCTTTTCAATAAATCAAACGTTGTACATTTTAGCTTTAAGTAGAAAGTGAAATAAATTGATAATTTTCGTTAACTTTGTCTTTCTTTTTTCCTCCGTATTTCTTACATTTTAAATTATACCTTGTTTAATATGGAGCATTGCGGATTGATATTTTCAGTTACCTTGGACGTCAGGTGCTGCTTTCGTCATTTGTTTGGATATTTGGTTCCTAAAATCATTAAAGTGATCGTACATCTAATGATTTTGAAGTCATCAATCAGCTTCAATGCGAAACTATAAGTAATATATATGTATGTAAAGTTGGGAATAGTGCAACAGAACTATAGGGACCAACAGTTGGCTAGCATTTAATGGAGAGGGAGAAATACTTAATTACGAACACTCTTCCAGAAGCGGCCCCACACGTTGTTATTGAGGCAACTGTTCAGTAATCGCGAGGGTGAAAACTAGCAACGTTCGACGAATGGTGAACTAGACACATGGAACTTTAATCTAAACTTGGAGACAAAGTCAAAGTCAACGCTCCGTGTTCCTTGTGTAATCTAATTGTAATCAGAAGCCAAGAAAACTTCCAGCGTGAATTACAAAATCGTTTTCAATAGGCTTAGAAGATTGAAAGCATCTAATTGAAAAATTATATCCATGAGGTCGGAGCGAAGTTTTGCAAGACCCATAGGAGAATTAGGCCTTATTGGTGACCCGAATTTGGTTAAAACCAATCTTACCAGCCTCGAACACAGACGTAAAGTAGCCAGCCTTTCGGTTTTCTACAGTTTAATTCCTTCCTCTCCCTTCCACTATCGGGCAACCAGACGTTCGGTCCCTCTCCACCCTTTCGTTGTTGACTTACCACGCATCCGAACCAAACGTTTCGCCACGTCGTTCATCATGCGTACAGCAAAGGAGTGGAATAAGTTGCCAGCATCGTCTTTCCATCCGATTACAGTGTGGGTGTCTTCAAGGCAAGAGTGAATAGGCTTTTGTTAAGTCAGTGTTTCACCATCTTACGCTACATCACCACTTACCATCAGGTGGGATCATAAATAAGCGCTGGCTTAGTAGAATATTAAAAAGAAGATAACCCAAAAACTCTCCGATCGCACTCTTAATTTCATTGCTGTTATACGAGAATAAAACTGCAGTCTTCGGACGATCCGAGTCTTCAAGTCTCGGATACCCATCGTACTGTAGTTATAGATAGTCGATGGCTATCAGCTATCAGGATCAAAGTACGAAATCTATCCAACTACAAAGAGGTTTTTTTTTTAATGGGAGATGGGGCAAACGAGCATGCGGCTCACCTGATGGTAAGTGACTACCGCCGCCCTTGAACAACTGCAACACCAGGGGAATTGCAGATGCGTTGCCGGCCGGGTTTATAACAAAAGAGTTTAGGGGATATGAACGTGACGTTTATATATCCGAAACCGTTCAGCCCTGCATTAAAAGACGTTTTCAAGGCACTGGACTGCAAAGGATACGGTATATGGATCTCTCACCTTCGTTTTGTCGACGATAATTGTCATTATAGAAGAATCGCTAGAGGACTTAAGTACTATTTTCAATGACCTAATTAGTGTCGACCAACTGATAGGTCTTTAGATGAACATGCACAAGACAAAGGTCATGTGTATCGTCAATGTTATATTTATGCCGGTCAGTCGACAAGTTTGTTGAAGTTGAGGAGTCAATCGACGAAACAAACTCGTAGGGCAGCGTTTGAGATATTACGGCGAATTTTCTCGTCCAGTAATTCGCAAAATCTTCCAATAAAAGTGTACACTGTTCAGCCGACATGTGGTTCTTCACTGCTAATCGTATGGGGAAGCTTAAAGCCGCTTAACGAGCTATGGAATAGAGTGACCTATCTATCTTCTCGTTATGTATTCCTCATAGCCTTAAAACAAGATTAGCTTTTATAATTAGAATATGGCAATTTAATGATTCATATATAAGTAATATATGAATTCAATAAAAACTAAGTCGTTTTAAAAGTACTAGGTAACTAGTTTTTTAAAAAAAGTATAGAGGGTTTTATCTTGTACCAGAAGAATAAGTTAGGTGCCCATACGTAATAAGGTCTGTCGACTTAAGGAGATAATAACAGATTCCTATTGTACGATAATGTCTCTACAAGTTTGCAGAGACACGCTACCCCGCGTCCTGCCAACACAGTTGCATTATCTATCATAATAAGGGCTACACACGATCACTTTTAACTGTCAGTTTTAACTGACAGTGAAAACTGAGTGTGTGTACGATGAAAACTGTCAGTTTTTTTATTATCAGTTAAAACTGATGATATATTGTTGATACATATTTTTTAACTGAAATGACGGAACTGATCAGTTAAAACTGTGCGTGTGTACGCGGTGTTTCTTCAGTCGTGTTGCGATCACGAGATTGAGGTAAATTTCTTCACTCATTCTGAGATAGTTGTACCAATCCTTCGAAACAATTTTAGTTCGATTAATAAATTAACACGGGAATAAATTTTCCTTTTTTTAACCACTCTTTACACCACTTTTTGCGTATATTTTTTTAATTTCTATATTTTAAAATTAATAATAAACCAAGAACGGCTAAAGCGTCGTCGTCGGCTGATGACATCTTGAGATGGTAATGTTGTTTGTGGTCATAGAGAACAGTTAAAAATGAACGTGTGTGGGTGCAAAGGACGTAAGTTTTCACTCTCAGTTAAAACTGGTCAGTCAAAACTGACAGTTAAAAGTGATCGTGTGTAGCCCCCATTAGATACGACTTCACTGCACCAATAATAAAAATCAGTCTAAATAAATCGTAGGTATGTTTTGTAATATTAAAAATGTTATAAATGCAAATAAATCGTACGTTTATTACTAAACTAATGTCGTAGTCAGAAAAAGTCCTGGTTTCAGCTGTCCAAACAGTGCAAAGACAAAGTGTTTCGAAGAATTAAGGCTTTGACATTAGAAGCTATTAAGTTATGTGGAAATTATTGGTCCTGCGCCTAAGCTCTCTCGTACCCGTCGGATTGTGATTTGATGATTGTGAGGGAATAGAGAGTGCACCTGTGCTTGCGCATACATTCGGATACTATAATTCTGTACTGTGCTGATGGGCTAGTCTTCGGTGAGACTGGCCGTTGTGACAGACAAATTTAGTTGGGAGGACACTCAACCCAACAATAAACCCAATTCTCAACTCAACCTAATACTCAACTCAACTCAAGACACAACCGACGTACTGATAATAATCACGAGGAGTGAGTTTGTTAGTTTGTTCATAATAATTATACTAATGACTAAGTACTGTTATGCGAGGCCATTTATATATTTTTTTAGAATTTTAAGTCTTAATTGCTGCATTCATGTGATTATTGATCACAAATATTAAATATATAACATATAAATTGATTATTTCAGTTCGTTAAAGCAGTAGGCCTTATTACCCTACCATAGTAAAATAAGGCATATTAGCAAGGTTTTACGAAATGTTTAATTTCGTTTTTCTTTATGGCAAATGTTACAATTATTCGTTCATACTTTATAGAAACTGTACTAAACTAATGATTTTTAATAAAATCTGTAGACCAAGTTCTAGAAGATATTTCTGATTTTATTTTCGATTTTCCCTTAGGTAGGCCTTACTACCCGCAGGTACCTTACTAAGTGCTCAAAATTATTAAACAGAGATTCCAGATTCCTGTGGCTTGTAATCGGAGAATATTGGCTCTCGGTATTATGAAAATATGGACTCTATAAATCTTTAAGAAATGCGGGTTATTTGGTGCAATTTTGGAAAGGCTTGCATCCAACAGCTGATTCAAAAGTTAAGCAAAGAAAAAGTTTTTATCACCACAATACCATAAATAAGCGAAGAACAACAGAAAATTATGATTAATAGACAATAAATATAAAATTAAATTTTCTTCATTAACCCTTAAAAGTCCACTGCTGACATGAGCCTCTACCTTTACAGTATACACGGTAGAGTCACGCGGCAGCTATATTACAGTTGTAGCACGAATGGGTCGACTCGATCGGTTAGTGAACACGTTGTAACAGATTACCAGCGTAAAATAGCAGTTTAAGGTTATTGTGTTTCGTATGATGAGTGTAGAGAACCGGAGACCCTTTTTACTGGAAACGAGGCTTTCCATCTTAATCCTCAGGAGTAACAACGCATCTGCATTTTGATTGGTAATCGAGGATAAATATGTCTATGTGTCACAGAATGCACTTACCATCAGGTGGACTGGGTTCTTTTGTAACCCTTATTCAATGAAAAAAGAAAGAATTTGCCTTAATCGTCATGCTTGGCAGACGGATTGACGATCACATTGCCAGACTTCTGGCACCTTTGCCACTACTCCAGTCGCTGGGCTGGGTATTTTGCGTCTAGCGATAATGAGATGGTTGTAATCCCCGTCTATCGAAAATCATCTCAAGCAGTTTTCATTAGTCATCTTTAACGATATCCCTCTTTTTTATAGGATAGGGTGACAAACGAGCATACAATCCACCTGAGGGTAAGTGGTTGCTATGACCCATAGACATCTACATCTATCCTCAATAAAGAATCAAAATGCAGATGCGTTGTTAGGTGTGAGGACTAAGATGGAATGCCTCTTCTCCAGTAAAAAAGGTCTCCGGTTCTCTACACTCACCATATGAAACGCAGCAGTGTTAAGCTGCTATATTACGCTGATATTCTGTGAGAGCGTGGTCCTTCCCCGGTCGAGACGACCTATTCGTGCTACAACTATATACAGTTAATATAGCTGCAGCATGGCTCTACCACGACGTGTAATACTAGCTTTAGTAGGACTCCTTTTCAGCCTTGATGTCCGTCTGGGTAGATAACACTCTCTGACCTATTTCTGCCGTCAAATAACAGTGCGTGCACTGATGTGTTCTTGTCTGACGAATTACAGAGAGCCTGTGAGGCATTCCATCTTAGTCCTCAGAGGTGACAATGTATCTGTAGCGTTCTTCTTTGAATTTGGATGCAGGTGTCTATGAGTTTAGAAACTTACCATCAGGTGGATTGTACTGTAAGTTCGCTTGTCGTTTCAATTTTATTTAAAAA